ACTACGCCCTCACGGAGGATAGCCCTGCGTACCTTGCAAGCCTCGTCCTCCATCCCGCGTTTCGCTGGTCCACCGTCGAGTCGCAATGGTCCGATCATCCGGACTGGCTGGCCAGAGGGAGGGCGGCTGTGCAAGAGCTTTGGGAGGAGTACCGAACCCTCGCGGTCGAGCAAGACACAATACCCGAGCAGCCCACAGCTGCCAGGAAGACGACGGACCTAGATGACTTCATGACTTCAATTAGGAAACTTGGTGCTCAACCTGCGCCATCGCCGTCCTCCATGCGTGACGAGTACGCAGAATGGGTGGGCAGTACCGATCCGGGTCATTGTCTTGTGGAGAATCCCATCCAGTACTGGCTCCTCCGCAGACGCCAGTATCCACGCTTGTCGCGAATGGCAATCGACCTCTTTTCTATTCCGGCAATGTCTTCAGAGCCAGAGAGAATATTTAGCCTTGCCGGACAGATGGTCACAGCTCAGAGAGGCCGCCTCAAAGCGGACCTTATAGGAGAGGCTCAATGTATTTCGTCGTGGGAAAAAAGTGGGGCTATCCAAATATCCAAATGAGATCCAAATGGATTCAAATCAAATCAAATCAAATCAGATCCATGATTTTGCTATCCAAATCAAATCAAATTGGACCCCGGATTTGATTTGATTTATCTATTTGCAAGTCTGCCTTCGCCAGCGTTTCCGCGTTGAGGCCCTTGACAAGTTGCTCATCCTGGTATGCGAATTTAGACGGGCAGCCGGGCTGCACAAATGCCATCATAGACATGTCCCCTCCTGCATCTTTCTGGTTATCGAGAGGCTGTCGCCGGTTGGAGGAGGCGTCGACATTGCACTGGGGAGCGGACATTGTGAGGAGATGGCAAACGGGGCCACTACTCACGCGTGAACAGAGAAGAGCCCAACTAAGGTAGCGGTAAGATCTCTTATCATCCATGAATTCTCCATGACGTCGCAAGAAGAATCTTGGCAATTGCCGGCAGAAGGCAGGCGTCGCGGGATATTTCGTTGTGTGTGTTACATCAGGGTTCATGCAGAATGCGTTGGCATGAGATTTTGAACGGTCTCGATCGTTGGTGTCTAAGATTTAGTCATGGAGTAGGCTGCTCGTGTTCAGTCATTATGCAAGTTGTTGGAGGTCGACGAACGGTAATTGCACGAGCCTGCAGAAAAAAGAAAGTTCCCATCGGCATGGCCCCGAGCCTGTCCTCCGAAGGGGCAGATGATGTAGATAGCGTTGGCGAATAAGAGCCGCACAAGGAAGACATTGCCGTTGTACTGCATGAACCACCCGGGAAGAACGTCGGCAATTCGGGCGCGAGTGAGATGAAGCTGAAGAAGGCAGGTTGCCATCGGCGGCCTCAAGCATACCGGTAAAATGCGGTCTAGGTCGAAGAATGGAGGCAATAAGAGAAGGAAACGAGGGCCGACTAAAAAAAAACCTTCAGTTTTGGTGGAAACCGAATTCGATTGCTTAGTGGGGCGCGATATATTCGCCTGGTCTGCATCATGAATAGGCCCCTTCGTCCATTGCTGGCAAGGGAGATCGAACGGCGTGAAGAGCCCAGAGGTGTCGTCCCGGAGTCGTCTAATCGGCCAAAGAACGTCCAGGAGGATGGTGTAGTCCTCGAGGGGGGTCGGAGTGCGGGAGAAGGTCGCAAGGTGAAAGCCCGGGGTCCCCTGGCAGCCTCGAGACTGTCCACTGGGCTATGGGGGCTGCAGTCGTCTGCCAACCGGGTGCATGGCTCAGGCTCGCAACAAGTTCTATTCCCGAAAGTGACCAAGTCCTCTTCTGGTCCCATCGACAGGGAAGGAAAAAGGGGTGAAGTCAAATCCGCCGCGGGGACTGCGGCGACGACGGCTCCAGTAATTGTGCGGGAAGAGCCAGCGAACCCGCCTGCTGCAGACTGTTCTGCACAACCCCCCGGCGTGGTAGCAGACCAGTGCGAACCTGTGAGGTGGGAAGAGACGCCGACGTATAGGCGATTGATTTCGGCCGCACGAGAGATCGGCCGTGGTGCTTCCGATGGGCGGCAACTATTGCCCAAGGAGCCCGGTTCATCTCGGGAAGGGGTTTCAGGGAGCGGATCGGCTGATGGCTCTGAGACGGCCAGGGAAGTGCGGCGGACGGCTGCTCTATTACCGTCGGCTCGCATTACCGGTATCAGGCAGGCCCGAGTGCGGCATCGCAAACGCAACGCGGGGCAAGGAGTCAACCAACCAGTCAATCCCCCGGGGCCGGATCGGGGTGATGGAAATGCCGATGCTGGTCAAAATGTGGAACAAGTGCGGCAGAAGAAAAGGGATCGTGGACCGTGCCCGAGCCCGAGCCCGAGGAAACGGAATCGGCGAGCCACTCGTGTCCCCCGAAGAAAAGAGATGCAGGCCGAAGACTTGGCCAGCATATTGCAGCACTTGGCGAAAGAGTTTGCCTTGAAAGAGCGGCTGTCAAGCGAGCAGACCTGGTGCGAACCAATACCGCACGAGAGGAAGGTCTCGACGGCGAAAAGATTCTATCAGGCATTCCACGATGCCAGCACCATGCCAATATGGACGTGCATGCTATGCTACCGCAAGTGCGCCAAAGGCGAGCTGAAAGAGTTAGCATATGAAGAATGGCAGCGTTGGGCAGTGGATGGACCTGTGTCCTGTCGAAGTTGCTTTCCTGAGGGCGAGAACATCCCGGCTTGTTCTGAATGCATGCGCTGCGTGGCGCGGGGCAGCCATTCTCCGGCGATCCAACTCCATCGCCGACTTGGATGCGAACACGCATTTCCGGAAGAACTCAAAGGTTTGACGCCAATCGAGGAGAAGCTTATCGCGCCAAATGCAAGTTACGGTTTCGTGACAAGGTACAGCATCCCGGACGGGCGAAAACAAACTCTCAAGTATCCGAGGCACATCAAGGGCCACATCACCGTGTTCCCAAACAATGTACAGGAGCTGGCTACGAATGTTCTACC